AATGACGGAATTCGATGTAATATAATATTTGTGTAATCGATATATAAGAAAATTTTTCTGAAGAATCTAATGAGCAAAAACAATTGCAGGATCTTGTAGAGAGGAAATATGAAACGATAGTCGGCGTGCAATTAATTTCGCGTTGCATCGGACATAAACGAGACGACAAAAAACCGCCGTATCTGCAGATAGTATATTTACTGATATGGCGAAACAATCGCGGCGAATTTATTATCTCGGACCGCGTGTGCTCCAACGTGACTTTTTTTATTCTCTCGTACTAACGATAAACCTTTTAACTACAGGCGTACGCGTACGATCTGCGGGGTCAATGAGTTACTTTAAAACAGCTCGAGAACTCGTGTTCATCTTCATTTGGAACTTTCTCGGAGATACATGGATACTTCTATCGTGAATGACAGTCAATTTTAAAAGTTACAATAGTCCTTTTCTCCAGGCCAGATAAACAGAATTAATTTTAGACGACTTACAAGAATGAAATCGTAAATATTAGTTTTTTATGCAGAGGTAATTCTTTAAATTAATAATAAATTGGCTTGATTCGAAAATTCGTTTTAAAGGAATTTCATTTGTGGAGTAATTGAATTTCACACTAGTATTGATAATTAGGGTAATTACATAATGGTGGATGCTAATTTCATTGCTTCGAATCTGCAAAGGTAGTTGCATAATTTCATAACGGTTGAAATATTAAAATGGATAATTGTAATAGGAGAATCAAGTTGTTCATTATTTGTAATAAAACTACATGCCGTTTCTTAAAGTTCACAAAATTATTTCTCAGATATTAAATACGTGAGGTAAAGTCTTGAGAACTTTTTTATGAAACTCGATAAGTCTACAATTTTATGAACAATATATGCCACGTATATATTACGTATCTCTGCGAACTTTATACACTATGTGCACTCTTTATACTTACCAAATATACTTTAATAAAACACTATATGAAATATGAACAAATTTATGTATTGCATCGATGTTGCTGATCGACGATCGGTTTTTTTTACTTCGCGATTTGTGGAAGAAGCGTTCGGGATACCAATTGAACACGAAAGTGAGAACGAGCAATTTCACAGTGTGTAGCGAGCGAGCAAGTAAGCAAGCAACGTGACCACGATAAAGGAAGGAATTTAACGAGGGTAATTCGCGATAAGCTTAAGAGCTTTACGTTCAGAGGGTGCGGGTCGCCGTCGTCGTCGTCGTCGTCGTCGTGCCCTGGAAATTATGTTCCACGCTCAAGGGCCCGGGCTTCAGTTTGTCCATCGGCTAATGGAATTCCGAGAATTCTATTCGAAAGTTAATCGGATGTTTGCATCGGGCGCGGGTCCGGCGCATCGCCGCGGAACGTATTTAATTACTCGCAGAAACAGTTCGCTAACTTATTTATCCGCGTCCAGTTCTGCGCCCGGGGCGCGGCCAGTCGACGACACTTACGTACGGTCCCTATGCAAATATAATCTTGCCCGGTTTACGAATTCGGTCATCCACCTGCTCCAATCTTCCAATTACGTCGTACGCGAACGTAACCGCGAGATTCATGCGTCATTAAAAAAATAATAAACTCGGTTGATGCCCGATAAGATTTCAATGAAGCACAAATATTGCAGAGGTACTATACTTCTCGAGCCATAAAATCAAATTGTTTACGTCATACTAAAAGCACTGAGACTGCGACTTGGTATATTTAGATATAATCGCAGTTTCAATATGAAGTTCTTAAGAGTGCTGTTATAGTAATTGATACAAATTTAAATACACTTCGGCATCATTATTCGCCGCGAGACGCACGTAACTCTTATGCAACCCGGAACGAGGCGAGTAACCGTCACTTTATTGCGCTCGGAGCGAGAAAAATTCCCGGGGCCAATTCAAACTTTGCGGTCCCCGCCCAATCTCACGCCTCGTGTAGCGGCCCGATCGTCGAAACCGATAGAGAAGAAAATTTAACGAGGGGTTACGGGTGGGTTAAGCCGTACGCTTGCAGCGCGCGTAGGTACTGGCGTGCTCGGGCGACTGGTAAATGGGCTGCTCGTAGGCTGGCCAGTTATTAGGCCCGAGTCGCCAGGAAGGTGTTTAATAGCCCGCCAACAGTACAATCGCCCCTTGACGGTTTCGGTACCGCGGTGTGCACTTTACATATATTTGCATCCCTCCGGCGCAAATACGACATCAATCTAGAAGCAATATTGACTGTGTTGCAACCGTGGTGTCTCTATCTCGACTCTTGCGAATCAGCCACTTTGTTGATTATACCGTTTCGCATGCATGTTGCACGCTAAACGCTTCCTCGGGGATGGCTCCTCTAGGAAAAGAAATTTGCAAGCTGAAATGGAATCTTCAGCTCGTAAATAACGTAACACAGGCAATGCATGCGGGATTTGCGATTAGTTAGATTTATAGGCGAAACGCATTTGCAACCTTGTTAGCATCGCTCGTGATTAGTCTGAACAGACCTCTACGCATTTTGGAATAGAGATTTATGGATTCGTCTAAGTATAGATGAATAGAGATCTTATGTCTTGCACTTCGTTAACTAAATTGAACATCTCGATAGGAGAATATTCAAATCGTCTAATTATACCTAGTCTAATAGAATTCGTTGAACTCGAGATAACTAATTTATTCAGAGAGAGTGGTTACTGACATCCTATCTCATATCGCTATCACTTTGTTACGAACTAGTGGTGTTCGCTGGATTAACAGTGAAATAATCAAGGATTAAATATCAGTGTCTCGCAGTGACAATCACGAAGGCCGCGCGAGGCTGCCACGGTGGGTGGCTAAGGCTAGGCGACCGTAGCGTAGTTGGCGAAGTTTGACAAGTTGGCGGTAACAGGAACGGTGGTACCAAGTGCCAAGAAAGTTCCATGGAAGGATCAGTTGATGCATGGCCGCGGAAGAAGGATACCGGTGCCAGCCCAAAGGACGTGTTCCGCGGGACAAGCGTGAGTTACGAACACAAGGAAAATGCTGAAGGTGCTTGCCACTCGAGTTTCACCGAGCGGAGTCCAAGGAGGTGCCGCCGAGACCGGTCGCCGCCGCCGGTACGAGTTTTAGAACACGCGCAATACAAATTCGCTATCCCGGATCCCCTTGCAAATATTTACCGCAACGACCGGCCCTCGTTTCACCTCGACGTCTGAAAATCTTGCTAACTGCATGCAACGAAACGTCATGCATTCTTCGCTAGTGAAGGCCTTTCCTTTTATAGAGCATTACGTCAGCCACAGATTTCGTTGGCCTTATTAGACGCGGCTGAGACGTAAGAAGCTCTTGGAGGACTTTAATCCTTCCGACGTCGAACAGATTGAGATACAAAAAGTTTACGACCACGGTTTTTCAAAATAATTTCGTAGCTTCGTCTCTTGTGAATTTTTTAATATACGTATTTTGTGACATATTATTTATGCGTGTTCCCTTTGATATCATTCTTCTGCTTGTTAATTTATGGTTAATTATTACGCGATCTAATTTTCAAATGCGTTTGTATTCGCAGCATTGTTGCTTAATCCAATTCGAGGTTCTGCTTATCGAATACCATTCCCTCCATCGAGTTTCCCAGCGAAGCTCGGATACTGAGACGTCGGAAACTTCGGGACTTTGAAAAAGTTAATTACTTCACATCTTAAGATCTCATCGGCCGTCAGGCAAAAGTTTTGGATGGAAAGTTGTAGCACATTCGCCCTTGCTAATTTCTGTGACGCTTCCGACGATGGTAATTTGTATTACAATTGGCATGGTTAGCAGGCTGATTGTTTCGAAATAGGGTAGCACTGAGCAAAACTTGAATACCCCGTTATTTCAATGTTTCGTTAACCCCTGTCCCATGTTCGTACGATTCACTGTAAATTACTGCATCTTAATGAAAAACATCTGATTGTTTTCAAATAACGTGATTAAGGAGAAAATTGTTTGATAATCATGTGCAAATATTAATGCGGACGTAATTAAAGTATTGAAATGAATTTGAATTATTATAAAACAAAGAACGTTGCCGTGCTAATTTATCAATGTACTGTATGAAGCTGTCCTTTTTCATTACGTAGCTGTACCTAAATTATACAATTATGTGATAATCATAATTAATGATGAAGAAACGTTAAAATTACCGACTACATCGAGGAATCCGGTGTTGCTGGACATGGGATCGGTGTTAACTTGGCACATATACCATCCCCTGTCCGTCTCCCTGGTATCCCTGATGTGCAACGACCACATGCGATGGCCCATGTGCGTCACGCCGATCCGATGATTCTTCGTGATGACGTGGGTAGCTATCGTGAGTATCGTCTGCGTGTCTACCCGCAGCCACGCCACCTGTGATAACAAAGAGGCCAAGATTCTATACATATTCATACACGGATGAAACTATCTCCTATATACACAATTTCATGCTTTCGCTGGCATTGTACGCATTGCATCGAGAAACATCGGACGGCGGTAAAGGCTGCCTTTTATCATAAACAGCAGCAACAGCAACTTCTTCGAAAGGTAATTTAACTTGAAACGCGTCCCGCGGTGAAACTTCATCAGAATTAAACTTGTTATTCATCGACAACCTTGTAATCTAATTTCTAACGGCAACTACGAAGAATTTCGGTCGATGCGACGCGGTATCGTCGGCTGGAGAAAGGTGTGACGAACGTTTCGAGATATCTACCCACTTCTGATGATATCTGAACGATAATGGATCTTCTAATAATAGCTGTGTGAGTTTGACATATGTAGAAATCAAACGGGAGAATGCACATGCGTATGGCAATACGGAGAGCAGAAGAAAGGGATTGAGTTTATTGAGGTACGCAAGTACTAAACGACAGCCTGATCGGATATGTATTGTATGATGATTTATATTAAACTCGTATGCATAAAATGAGTTATTATCGATACGATGCGGAAACCAACTTTCGTACGACGTACAGGATCAATGTTATTCTCCAAAATAGAGTGTTCTAGATTCCCTGTAAGAAAAGCATGAAGTCAACGACCTATAGATTATAGATTCCGGAGATATTTAAATCACCCCATTTACTTAGTATCTACTGCATAACTAAGAGACATTGTACTGCGAGTCAATTCAAACTTTAGACAAATCATTTTCATTTTAACATCATAAATGAATATTGGACTATTTATTAATAATATATACTATAATAAATATTATTACTAATCGTGTCAAACACGTGACATTATAAATAATTTGCGTAGCTTGTAATATTGGATTCGTATTACAAAAAGGGATGCCTTCGTCGTTCGTCAGTAGAATTAATAGCTGGACCAACAGATGGAACAAACAAAAGGAAGTTGACAATATATTTGAGAACAATGAATCACAGATTCTGTGAGGAATCGAAACGCAGAGTTTTCGCTGGTCCAAAAGCAATTTTACCGATTTTGTTCTCGTGCGAGGCGGTTGATAGAGGCAAGGTAAAAACCATCGCGTGGAAACACTCAAAGCGGTCCCGAGCGGGCCACCATTGTCAACCGAATCAAAAGGAATAACAATTTGCTTGACCTAAATGTCTGATATACGCGTCTCGAACAGAGTATAGTGTACGTGCATTACAAAAATGTGGCCCGACATTCCTCTCATCTAGCGTTGTTTTATTCAATCCTCGCCACTTTTGCTTATACCTCGGCCCGGTTCTATTACTTTAGATGCGGGCGACTCTCGCAAGCGGCACGCATTGTCCCGGCCCGGTGCGCCGCGGCCAAGACATTCCGTTAAAAGTGTACCGCATCTCGAAAAAGGGACAGGTACAGAGGGAAAGGAGAACAGAGATTTCGCCGGAACAAATCCACTCGCGGACTATATTTACAAACGCGTCTGTTAGAATACGTGTCTTCCGCTTTCTCCTCTGTCCACCCTCCTTTTCGTTATTCCTTCTGGAACATTTCCTACGAGCACACCCAACCGCCTACCCGGTTTCACCGTCCCTCTCATTCCAGCGACGACGACGACGACGACGACGCGTTGTCTCTTGCCGTGACTCATTGTCCAAGTGTTGCGACAATGTGCTCGATGTTACCAACTGCGCTCGTTACATAAAAAGGAAAAACTTCCGCGCCAAACTCGTAATACACTCGGCGCCGTTTTAAACCGTATATTTCTTCCCTCGCCACCCTTTCGCGCCGCCCACCAGCCCCTGTGTTCTCCCGGTTGATTTCTTCCCCTGGAATACGCGCGCATCCACCTCATCCACTCGGGCCGTGGGCGATGCTTACACGCATACAATTTTATCCACGGCTTTACGTCGGATCCACGGCTGCGCTCGCTCTGTTCCGCGCGGAACGTTTCCGAAGGTTCCGCGAGCTCCTTTAATGGAACAGAGGGAGAAAAGGCGCGAAGCAGACTCGGTAAAGATGCTCCAAAGACGGAGCCGGAGAGGGTGGCCTCTCCCGGAAAAGGAGGAAAAGGACAAAGCGGAAGAGAACTTTACAAATCGTGCGCGCCGGCTTCAATGTTAGCTCAACGTAGTTTGCCGGGTCTATTGTTTTGCTCGATGAAAAATATCGCTTGGGGATACGACGTCGGTTTTACGGAGACGACGCGACGGTTTTAACGATTGTTTTAACGATAATGCCAGCGGCCACGGCATATTTTGAGATAATGGGATTCCGAAGTTTAAGGAAATTGTAAAGCACGGGGAAAATTCAAACGCAGATCCTCAGATCTCAATGCGAGAATTCCGTCAGTCAATGGTAACTTCGGAAACGAAATTATTTGTCATTTGATACGACTCTACTCAATTCATTTATTGAGAGATCAGTACTTTTTTCTACGAAACGACATGCTTCTTTTAAGCGTTCTTATATCTTGTTTAAAATATTTTCATTTATTACATGTATAATTATATATTATGAATTTAATAAATTGTGTGATATAAGAATTGACGTCGAAACTTGTGCGCGTCTCGTTTTGCTTTTGTCTGGCAGATTGTGAATATCGAGGACAGGGGAATTTGAAATCGGCGCATCGACAGCTGCTCGATCATTCCGAATCGCCCGAGACTCCTGACGTAGTGGTCGTTCGATCGTTGATTATCGGGCAAACTTGGTTAACGCGCACGCGAGCGAGAAAAGATGGTGGCTAGAATCGAGGAAGAGAGGATGAGCGATCATTGCCAGCGACCATTCTCTCGCGCAAAACTTTCCTTGGTCATTTTTCACCTGAAGTCCACAAGAAGACTTCGGATATCCAGCTAAATTAAAGAACTACATCATCAGTATCCGAGTAGAAACGAGAAACAGCGATGAGAAAAATAGAGAAAAGCGTTGGTATTGAACAAGAATTCATTTGGAATAATTAAGTAATCAATCGTTGTATTCGACCTTTTAGAAAATTCTTGCCGCGTAATTCTCTATTTTTTTACGTAAAAAGAACATCAGTAAAAAGAGGAATCGAGAACGTTATCTTAATTAATATTAATGGCAACGATAACCTGACCTAATTTGTCACTGTTTGAGAAATACTTTCAAGAGAAATCCGGAGAAATGTTTCACGTTACTCTCGGTCGACGGCGTTCGCAATTTTCGACTCGTGACTTTACCGATACAGATCTCGATTATTTATTTTACCAAACGATAAAGTTAAACGACCGGCTGAAAAGTATTAACACGGCATGCTATCGATGAAATGTAATGTCGCTACCTCGTGTTTAACCCGGATACACGCGGATTAAATTTTGATTGCGTTATGAATACCATTAATTAAAAGTACGGATAAATTTTAAATCCCACCGGTCATGTTCGTGTACGTGTCACTGGATTTTTATAACTACGCAACCGGGAAATTAAATGTTCCTACAGATATTAAAACTACGTAAATTAATACTGTGAATTTATTAAAAGTGCGACGCTAGTTTGGCGGGATTATTATAAAAAATTTGACGGTTTACGAACATTATGTGACAACGGCTTCCTTCCATATGAATAAAATATGATTTTTAAGTAAGTGGCTTTTTAATAAATTTCGTTTTAAATGCAAATATGAACAATGACGTGAGACAGAACATCGTTATAAAGCACTTTATGTCGAACTCTTAAGCATTGTTGACTCGATGTCTCGAAGGCAATCGTCTTTCGATTGCGTCCCTTCCAAATTCGACGCGGAAGGGAAAATCGGAATACGTTTTGAAATAAACGGGCGAGGGAGAGGGGGCGGTAAACATCAAAGGATTGTGTCACTGTGGGTGTTCCTAGGAAAGAATCATCGAACGTGGCGCGGCAGCTCGCAAGGTATAGCCAACAACGAAACGAAACAGGCATATTGGGTTATTCAAATTTCCTTGTGGCGCGGTGTGCCACGCCGCTGGAAAATATTGAATATTCTGGCGTGTAAATATTGGAAATTCTGAACACGTCACGGGAACACACGGCTACGGAGCGAGCACCGTCTCGCGCAACGGGAACGGGTAATCGTATCCGCGGTACGCTACGTTTACGAGCGAAACATCCCTCCATCCAGCGTCATTCACTTTTTCAACGGCCCTATAATTCTGCGTGTATTGAAAACGAGGAAAGCTGATACGTTCAACTGAGATTAGCGGAGTATCAAATGTTTGACGGCGTGTCGACATCGTTTACCGGTTGCGGTTAATAATTTACTACCTACAAATTTCCGCCGTCATCCAGTCAAAACGCTACAGATATTATGAATGAACATAGTATCATCATTTGTGTATTTTCTAAATTACTGATATTCTAGATCACACGTTGCGCGTGCGGTTTGATACTAAATTCGTAACGACAGTTTCAACAGTCTCGTAGGAAGTAGCAATAACGTGTGTGCCGGCAGAAGCGACGAGGTCACGGTCCCATTCAGAAATTTCGTCGAACGAACCCGTTGACCAAGCGGCGGCGGTTGTGTTACGAGTTAATTCGGTGGGATATCAGAGGAACACGTCGAGATAAGCATCTGTCCGCACTGTCAAAGTTTGGCGGAGACAGAGCGCGAAATCTGTGCAGGAGGGGAGAGAGAGAGAGAGAGGGTGGACCCGATGCTGCAAGCACAGGAGGATAATTAGCCTCGGTGGAGCAATCCGCATAATTATCGCCTGCGTTGCGTCTATCCCCGTCGAACTGGTTTTTCCCCTCTCGCCCTCCGCCCAACCTCCCTCCCTCGATCCGTCCGTTCCGACCAGCTACGAACGTTTTCCGTCGACCGACAAACATTCCCACCCACGCAATACCCCACGTTCGAAACACCCAGGTATCGCGTCGATGATCCGTGCGACAACCAATGAACCGCTTTTGCCTAAACAAGGAATACACTGTTAATTGTAATCGCCCGCGAGCCCACGGTTCGGCTAATTACA